TACCATCACAGTTAATGGAGGCCACTCAAAGAATTCATTAAAACGCAGCAATGAGTCTAATGGAGAATTTGAACAAAGATCCCGGCCCTGTTAAGGATGGGTGTGGCCACGGGGCTTTTCATATGGAGGAGAGATGCTTTCCCCCCCAACCCCTCCTCCCTCCTTCAGTCAGGTTGCACATGTGAAGTGCAGGGACCGGCAGCAGGGGTGTGTGCTGTTCCATATTAATGACAAAGAAAGGAGCGGGAGCAAGAAGTCGCTATCATACACTCATTTGTTTAGAAGGAGCCAGCTTCACAATACAGTCGGCGGGAGTCCACAGGAATCCAGTGAAAGCTGGGGGGATGCGTCAATGACAAAAGACAGAGACAACCTCACTTTTTTGTGTGTGTGTGTGTGTGTGTGTGTCCCTGAAACAAGGGCTGCCCAATTTCAGAGTGCCGTTCAGCTTTCACCAAAACCAAGGATAGCTTCATGCATTTCAATGGGGGTATTCTTGCATAAAGAAAGAAGCACTACTGCATAGCACAGTCATCTCTCTCCTGTTGTTAAGTCTTTCTTTACAGCAGAAACAATAGAACCCTGGTCCCTCCTCCCCCCTCGGATAACAAATAAACCATTATTTTGCATGGCGACAAACCTGTAAGAAAAATGAGGAAACGAGAGAAACTGAGATGCTAGTGTGTCTGGTGAGACACTGTGAAAGCTGTCTCTCTCTCTCTCTGTCGCTTGAAAACGATCTCACCTCGCGCGAATGGTAAAGCGGCATGTACAAAAAAAAAAAGTCAATAAAAGTGCTGAATTCAAACAATTTTTCCTTCAACCTGACCGGCAAATTAAAGCAGGAAAACGGACAGCTGAAGAGGCAATTTTAGCCGAGATTATAACAATTGAATATATCTCCCACTCCGGCTGGAAAAGTGGGGCAAGCCAATCACCAAAGTGTAATTAAGATTCACTTGCTGCTGTTTTACTGATAATCCTGCGTGTAAAACTGTCACAGGCGAACAAAGGACCTTTTCCTCATTGAGTCATTGCCTGAGAGTGATTACTTTTGCCACCCAGGTCCTTTCATTTTCTCAAGGCAAAGCCACTCATACATCTCCCAGCTTGTTGAGTCCAGCAGAAAAGGGGGGAACTGCTCCCTTCTGACATGTAGGAAACTCAGCATGTTCATATGGGAGCTCCTATTTCTTCAGCGTTGTCTCAATACATGTGGAAAAAAAAAAAAGAACACGCGCAACTGTTCTGGTAAACAGCTAGCAAATAATGAGGCTAGAAGTTGTCATTTGGCTTAACGTGAGTGACGGCAGCAAGCTGTTCTTTCAACAACTGTACACACAACACAGAGGAATCATAAAGAGACACTCGCCCCCCTCGCGACCCAAAGGGGAGAAAAAAAACAACACTCCTCCACCTGTTCAGTGTCCTGCTGTGGGTGGAGGGAAACAGGAGGGTGTGAGGGGTGGAGGGGAGGGAAGGAGGGAGGGGAGGCGTTGCAGGCGAGACAAAGACCACAAGAAAGCAGCAATGCATTGAACTGTGTTACATCACAGTCTCGGATAACTGCGCCTTCGCCTGCACCCATCCACAAATTAGTCAACATTTAATTTTAGGTGCACTCGAGCAGACTCCAGACACCATATGGTAAAAGATGCACGTGTCATAAACATCATCTCTCAGGGGGGTGGAGAACGCTCATGCACCGGCCTGATTTCTTACAAACTTTAAGTATCCGAAGCTCCTTTAAGAAGTAGAGCAGGTTACCATCAACTCTAATGTAGGAAGAATCCTGCTCTTTGCTCTTTAAGCGCCGCATCAAAGGCGATGTAACAGCCACGTTTTAATTTCCTCATAACCCCGGGTTGTTTTTAGTTTGACGTCACCCCCGAAAAGCTTCCACGTTTTTTTTATTTTTTTTTTTATTTTTAGTAATTCAGAACCGAAGTTAGCCTCATCTGTAGCTGCTCGGGCCTGATGCTCGGCTATAAAAGCGGTGCTGCCAGGGGCGCTGGGAGGAATTCTGCACCCCCTGATGGGAAGTGACACTGGGCTCTCCAGTCTAACTCGGCTTTAATTTACAGTACGACCTTGTCTGTCTTGAACGGACCCTCTCTTGTTTGAGGAACCCCCACCCTCCTCCTCTCTCTTTCTCTTCTTTTTTTCTCTCCTTGTTTCTCGGATTCCCACTTATTCCGATCAAGACCAACGGAGCACGTGACGCACACAAACAAACAACCTGATCCTCTTTAGCAAACATCTGTCTCCATCCTATCTCTCACTTACTTTCTTGCCTGACTAATGGCATCTGTCTCACTTTACCATTAATATCACGGTCGTCTTTTTTTTTCATCCACAGTACAAGAGTACTGACTGTGCGACACAGGAAGAAAAAAAAAAGAAAAGATCTCACTTCACACTTTCGGTCCATGCACAGAACTGAGAGTCTCACAAAGTCTTTTGAGAGACATTATGAGCCTCCAATTTGGGTTAAGCATCCAGCAGGATAATAACTCTGAGAGATATCACATTTGAGAGCAGTTTAAGCTTTTCTATTACACTAAGTGTGAGGAACTATTGATTAATAGGAGGTTTGTTCCCTTTGTTAGTTTTAAGATGTTGTTTGCGGATTACACTTGTTTTGTCGCCACAATCGATCCAGTCTTGTTATACATTTACTCAATCTTGATTTCGGAAGTCGATTGTATTCTCCGCATATCCGGCGAGGAAAATTTCCGAAACAACTCATCCACGTGAGGAGACCAAGTATTAAAATGATAGCTTGAAAATGAAGCGGGATTCCAATTCAAAGCCATGATTCGGTTGAGTTGCCATACTTCTCATGAATGCATCTGAATTTTGCATGAAGGGATACAATACTTGGCAAGTCACAAAGAAATCTCCTTTGAAAGAAGAAACAACCACAAGCAGTCTTCAGACATCAAGAGGAAACCGCCTATAAACAAGACGAGACGTGCACAAGCACACAAATGAACAGTTGCACAAAATCTCACATGTAGCCCCAAACATACAATTAAAGCCACTCTTTCTCTTTTTTTCCCACCCCTTTCCTGTGCATTAACATCCCAACATGCGCGAGACGAGTCTTGACACAACCTTGTTTGGTAGTGAGGACGAAGGGAGGGAGAGTGGATCTATCTCAGGTGAAATTGGGTGACCCCCCCCACACACACACACATACCCACAACAGATTAGTCCATTAGCAGAAGGGAGAGCCCCACTCGCCTGACAAGTAATACCAGCTGTGGCACCGAGCGCTTGTCTGTCTATTCAGGAAGGAGGGTGAGGAGGGTGGGGGAAGGGTGGAGACGGGGGAGTGAACAAAAAACATCTTCCTCCACAATTTGTTCCAAGACTTATTTCGGACTCTGTTATCTTGTTGCATCTTCGCTTTTAGCGGCGTAGAACCTGGACCTGTTTCTTTTCATTCAAATATACTCAAATCTGGCCTGTTCTCTTTTTTTATTTTTTTTTATTACAAGTATTGATGCAGCTCTTACTGCAAAAAAACTCCACATAAGCCCCTTCAGGGCAGATTTCCAAGCAAACCGGCAAAAATAAAACCTTGCCATGCTCACTTCACCTTTTGCACCCTTCTTCTATTAACCATCAGTAAGCAAACACACATGTTTCGACCATCACTTGAGGGCAACATGTCTGCTGAGCACACACACACACACACACACACACACACACTCGGAGCAGTGGCTGGACGACCATAAAGTCTAACCTCATTACCAACTCAGAGCACTCTCTTCCTCCTCCAGTCTCGAGCACACGGCACTGCAGCGGCACAGCAGTGCAAAGAGAAGAAGGAAAAAAAACACCCTAAAAGGGGCCATTCGTTTCCTCTCAAATAAACCACCTGAGCTTGACTGATAGGTGCTGCATGGTGTTAATTTACAACAACAGGCGCCACCGTAGTGTGACGAGGTGAAAGAGAGCACAGTGAGATCAACCTCTCCTCCGCCTCTCCTCCTCCTCCTCCTTCTTTACCCAGAGGAAACACTCTGAGCTTATGGCTTTGCTTATGGCCTGGCTGAGTGATGGGAACACATGCTACCTGTTGGCCTCACAGACCAGAGCAAAAAAAAAAACTCACAAAAACATCCCCAAAATTGCACAAAATTAAAAGCTTGTTTGAAAAAAAAAAATCATCCTTTGTTTGAGAGCCACCAAGGAGAAGGAGGAGGGGGGGGGGCAAATCACCATTTCTAAAGCCATAATTTAAAATCACCACTTAATGCATGGTTGCTTCAATCACATCATACACCCGAAATAATTTCTTTTTTCTCAAACTTGGGTGCATTCACTTGTGCGAGCCATTACAAAGTGCCCACATCCTACGTGTAATTACTAGAAGGAGGCTGTCAGGAGTGCTTTCCTCCACCTAACAGGCAGCCCATAATTACAAGAAATCATACAGGATGTGAAAGCAGCATCATTCAACACAACAGTCTGCCTTAAGGAAAGAAAAGGGAAGGAGAGAACACACACACACAACACAAATGACGGCATCATGGCATGAGCACATGTGAATAAATGGGGGGGTGGGGGTGTGTGATGACTTCATCAGTTTGTACACACAATAAGTGACTTATATATAAATGATATGAGCATTTCTGTCAATACAGTAAAGTGGAGTTATAGGTAAGTTTAGCTGAGAATTGAACACAACTGAGATGGAAAGAGGTGATAATGGCATGATGGGTGGCTTATAAGCAAGCAACAAAAAGCAATTTCAAGTGGGGGGGAAACATATCTGACATAAGCATCTATGAAAGTGTAATGCAACTCCAAAACTTCAAAAAAAAAAAAAACACCAGTGCGCCCACTTCTACCCCCAGGGGAGGAATCGTTGGTCGATAACCTGGACTGAAGTTTTGGAGGCACCTGCATGTGACAGCTGGGAGTTTCCCTGATTCCTACCTGCGGGTTTCCACCGACACCGGTGGCCGGTGCGCGAAACAATGGCTTACCTTGGCGGAACAGCGCGGTGGTGGCGACGGCGAGGAGGGCGCACACGCAGCTGGCGGACAACAAGTGCATCCTTGCGCGTCTCGCAGATCCTCAGTCGGTATGTTATTAAAAAATAAAAATAAAATAAAAAAATCCCCCAACAACCAAAAAGAAGAAGAAAAAAAAAAGCCTGGTTGAGTTTTCTTGTGTGTGGAGGTGGATTAAATTAAATTGTCCCCGCGAACCTGGCTGCTTTGCTTTGCTGCTTTGCTTCTGCTTCCTGCTGCTGTGGATTCAGTTCACTTCAGTTTTTCTGGCTCTTCTCCCAACGTGGCATGTGCTCGCCAACTCGCGCTCGCATCAGCTCTGGTGGAACAGGTAATTGCAAAAAAAGAAAAAAAAGAAAAAAAAAGAAAAAGGGGCTCACAGGCGAGAAGTGAGGGGAGGAGGATCCTGTCTGCAGCTCCGCCCCCCCACACCCCCCTCATCCCTCCTCCACCTCCCCCTCCAGCAGCCTCCCTCCTCCCTCCAGTTCCTCCATCCTCCTCCTCCTCCTACACCACCTCTTTCCTGAAGACCCCCCTCGTGTCCCCCCTCTTCCTCCTCCTCCTCCTCCTCTTCATCCCACCCCCCCCTCCACTCTTTCTCCAACATGCACCCTCATCCTCCATCTGCACACACACAAACACAGATACAAAGGGAAGCCTTCACTCAAGCAGCAGCACGTCAGACTTGCGGAATAAGTGCACAGACCCCCCCCCCTTTACCTGCATTTAAAACTGTATAAAAGTACATCTTATTTAATGACAAAAAAAAAAAAGTAATCCAAAGTGCCTATTCACGACGCTTAATTAAATGCACGCTTTTGCAAGTTGTCTGTGTAGATTCTCGGTCGTCCAGGTCATGGTAAAAAAATATCCAAGGACCTTTCAGTCGAAAGCAACTGGACTTCTCTTAAAGAAAAGTCCAGCTGCTTTCGACTGACGCTCCTATGATGCATCTAAAATCTAATTGACTGATTTAGATAACATTTTTGAGTTGCAAGCCTTTCATCACCTGCATGTAGCCACCACAAAAGTATAAATTATTCAAAAAGTCATTCGAGGCACCTATTCACAACATTTAATTAAATGCATGGTTAAAAGATGACTGTGTACATTCATCCAGGTCATGGTGTTTCAATAAAAAGCAACTGGATTCTCCTTAAGATAAGTCCGGTTGCTTTTTACTGAAGCTTCGAGGGCGGTTGCAAGACCTAAAAGCTCATTTACTGCTCTGGACAAACCTTTTAACTTGCAAACCTTATTTCAATGGATTGCGTAATGGATTAGGTAATGGACATTACTTAGTAGCACACTCTTAAAAGTAATCCAAGGTACCTATTTATATGTGTTTCATAAATGCATGGTTGTAAGATGTCCATGTAGATTCTCAGTCATCTAGGTTGTGGTAATAATCCTGTGAGCTTCACTAAAAAAGCAACTGGACTTCTCTGAGATGGTTGCAAGATCTAAATTCTCAAACACAGATTTAGACAAACCTTTAAAGTTGATGGGTTGGGTTGAATCCGGCATTTAAACTTCATAAAAGTATATATTATTCAGTAGTACACTTTAGAAAGTCATTCAAGGAACCTATTCATATCACTTAATTAAATGCATTATTGCAAGATCTCTGTGTGTAGATTCGTAGTCATCCAGATCACGGTAATGGTATTGTGATGTGATATTAGATTAACCTTTGAAGTTGTGACCCTTACCTTGACTGGTTGGATTGATCACCTGCATTTAAACCACATGGCTTCTCTATGATGGTTGCAAGCACCATAATCTAATTTACCAATTTGGGCAAACCTTTTAAGTTGCCAACCTGATTTTGATGGGTTGGGTTGACATAATCATGTTGCCACATGCTTTAACTTGATACTGTGTGTAATTTCAACTCTGCATTAGTTGATTTGTAACTGAGTTCATGTTGAGATTACTTAATGAAATTAGCTTGCAAACTTAATCTCGAGTTCAGGATTTCAAGTCCAGTTCCCTATCTTAACATACCTGGACAATTTCAGACACCTAATACTGGTAGTTAAAAATACCTTTGATTTTCAAGGAGAAGCTAATTCCCCTAAGGCCGACTACAAACAGTGCAATTTTAACAATCTTATAAGTTCACAGCTAGCTACACTGTACGACATGAATCTAATGAACTTTGGGCACGATATGAAGTTTGCTGTGTGCAGATTGCACAATGAAAATGCAAGCTAAATCGCAGCCTACGATATATGTGAGTCAACGTGAATGCACAAGAATAAAACGTCACAAGTGTGCGCCATCCATCTACGAAAAAGAAACTAGCGAAGCATGAACAGAGCCCTCCCCCTTATGGCATTTATGTGTTTGGAGAGAAATCCCAAAAAAAGGGGAAGGAGGAGAATATGGAAAGAGAGGCCAACTTGGGATGCTAATTTTGCAAAGGGACCTAGTGTCGTGCTGATCAGTACGTCATTTCATACTGCATTTCTATTGGTTAGTTAGTTGACGTGGATCGCAGCAGCAGTCACACTGTGAGACGATCACCCCAAATTTGTGACACTGTCAGAATTTAATCTCAGGTTGTCTTTGGTCGCAAGACCATGACAACAGCCGTTCTTGAACCTATCTCATATTCCTTTTCCACCAAACCGGTTCCAGTGCTAGTTCCGTGCCAGTGTCTAACTTAGCAGCACTTCTTTGTGTTTCCACCACCTAAGCACCGGCTCCAGG